CTTGTATCAATTCATAAGTTTTTTAAAAGTGTATATGTTCTGAAAAGTCATTGCATATCCACCTTGAAGTGCCTTATTTGATCAGATACCTGCCACAAAGATAGAAACAGCAATGTAAACCTCTCACAGCACTGCAGAATGGCAAGAGGCAGTTCTTGTATAAGTAAGATCCATCTTCATGTGTGTTATGACAGTAGCAGAGAAGCTTTGTGTGTATGTGCACATACGGATGGATAACTGAATGTGTGTGTATGACTCAAGTTCTGAGCTTTGTGCAGGCACCTGTATATCCTATTTTCAGTTTGATTCAAATCCAACAAGCTAGTGCAGTATCTAAGTATTAGGCTTTTACAGTGCTTGTTTCTGATTATGTTGTGGATCATACTTTCCAGTTTACCTCTTCTGTGTACACAGACCTGGACCAACCTGTATTCAATTCCCTTGTTTCGCTGCTAGGATAGCTCCCTTACTTCTCAGCCTGACTGATCGCCTATCTTATTGATGAAAATATTTTCCTGATGCTCCTATATTTTTACTTCTTGTTTTTCTAACATAGCTTTTCCTACCTGAAGGAAAATGGGCTGGTTATGTTTAACAGGCACTGTAATCAAAAGTTTGCAATATGACTTTATTAGACATCAGTAGCTGATGTACTTAGAAATCTCTCTCCACAATTTGTTTTTCTCACACACTATCCAAATAAAGTTTTAATTTCAAAGAGGGAAACTCTGAGCCTTCAGTTTTACCAGCAAGGAGCTTACACAAGAATGCCTTTGACAGCCTGGTTTGATTGTATCCATTTCAAAGAAGGAAGTCCATCTTTGTACATGTTTGCAGAGCAGCTGGGACAATGAAGACCCAGTCTTGACTGGAGCTTCTGAACCCTATCGTGATATAAATATTCATTGAAAATAATAATGAAACTTACTGTGAAGAAAAAGGGTGATACAGCAGCTCATGTTTATACTGTTGTAACTGTCAGTTTCAGAAGATAACTCCAACACAAAGCTTGTACACTACCTTAGAGTAGCATTCCTTTGCAGACTCTTTCCTGAAAAGCCTTGGGATTTCTGCATTGGTAATAAGTTTTCCTTTTACATTGCCTTTTTTTTACCATTATCTGTGAAAGAGTTGATACTGTTCTCCCTAAAGTCTCTGTACATATTTTATTTCTGAGTCATATATTACTTAAGTTTTTTTTCAGTAACAATTTGCCTTTGGATGCAAAGCTTTAGCTAGGTCTTCCATGTCTCACAACCTGGGAACTTGGAAGTCACAGATTTTATAGCCCAGATTTGACCCGTCTAACGAATGACAATGCATAGCTTTGATTGAGGATTCAGTACAGTTCTCCCAAGTAATTCACAGCTACAGTTATTTTCCCCATGCAAAAACTTTGAATTAAAAAATGTTTTCCATGTACACATATTGAATACATTATGAGAATGCAAGAAATGAAACAGATCTGCTGCTGTTAGCAGACAATGCTAGATAACCTCTGATTTCCATTGTTAAGTAAATTTTCCAAACCTTAAAGTTAGTCTAAAATCTATGAAAAAAAAAAAGACAGATTTCAAGTGGAAAAATATCAACATCCATTATCTAGATAAAATGCTCTCAGGAAATTATTTGCAAGCCAATGAAGTGTGTGTGTGTGTACACACATACACTTCATTTTTGGCATACATACTCCACAAGGAAAAATCCGTCCAGAGTACGAGAAGTAGAAAAGAAGTCATGAACTTGGATTCGGTCCCTCTTGTTTAACTTTATTAAGCTGAAACCGTGGTGCTAAGCCTGAAACAGGTGCCTAGGGTCCATCTAACGTTATTGGAGGAAGATAGCTTCATTGGGTATGTCTGGGGTGGAGTTAACTTCCCCCATAGCTGCCCTTGTAGTGCTGTACTTTGTATTTGTAGCTCAAACGGTGTTGATCAAAAAAACACTGTTTTGGCTACTGCTGAGCAGTGCTCACACAGCATCAAGGCTGTCTCTCCAACCCCCTTCCCCACCCCAAGGCTGGTAGGGTAGGGGCAGGCAAGAGCTTGGGAGGGGACATAGCTAGGACAAGTGACCCCAAATGACCAAAGAGATATTCCATACCATATGGCATCATGCTCAGCAATAAAAGCTAAGAGAAAGGAGAGCCAGATAGGATGAGTGGGTGGAATCCTTCCCTAATTACCTCTAGGTTTTTTCTCATTTTTATGGTTACACATTGAATAAGTGATTACAGCACCCAATGGGTAACATTCTACAAAGGACATACCGACATAGGTGCTTTACATCAATTCCTTAAGACACACAGTTGCCTAATTCCCAGGGGCAACACACTAAACACATATGAAGCCCTAGAACCAGTCAGTCTCCTGGATCTTCTGAAAATTAGATGGATGCACAACATTGGAAAAGTTTGCATTTCTCCAATAAGTCTAAAAATGTGTTAAACAGAATGGTTTATATTTGCACATAACTGAATTTTAAAATCTTAAACTGAAAACGACAACGACAGAAAATGTTATTTCATTTTTTTCTCCACTATTTCAGAAGGCTAAAGACAGGATTCAGACTTTCCTAAAAGAAAATGCAGGTTTTAAACCAGGCCCTAAAGAGTTACTGTACACAGGCTAGATCTAATGAAGTCCTGCTGTTTATCTGGGTGTCTGTGGTATTGCTCATCATTTAAGCTATGCATAATAAAAACTAACCTGTAACCTTGCATAAATACTGGGTTTTACACATAGAGCCCCTCATGTAGTTCACTTCTTTACGATAACAGAATTTAGGGAGGAAAGTCAAAACCACAATCAAGAATTCAAATGTATTCTGTTTAAAACTTGAGTGAAGTCAATAATATTCAGTATCTAAATGATAACTTGCAAGATTGACATGCACGTCTATAAAAGCTGCTTGATTTGTACAGCACTGACCACTGAGCTCTCCTGGGTTTAGGGGAATTGTAAATGCTTGGGTTTCTTTTGGGTGGTACACCGTAAGAGGAATGTAAGCAAAAAAAGGTTTTGGCTAAACATCTAGGAAAAAAAAATGTTCTCACAGGGAGGTCCATCCATATGCAAAGTAACATTCCTTTGAACGGCTGTGACTGATGACCTTCACTTGATGAATTTTAAGAAGGCTGTCTGAAGAACTCAGTAATGGGAGAAAATTCTGCTCTGGAAAAGCAGTTTACAAGTCAAAATGAAAAGACTTTTTGGACTCTGCCTGTTCTATGCTTCCCGAAAGAAAACAACTTGTGATAGGACCTGTTGTGTCTTTTCCTGTTGGGTGCAATATTTATCTTCCTGAATTTCCTTTCAGCTGGGAAAGAACCATAGGAGCCTTGCCTTGTCTCTGTCCTTCACCCAGAAACTTGCAAAGAGGCCACCCCATGCTTCAGTGCCATTGGACCTCACAGAGAAGGCACAGCACAGGGGAGTCCCACCTATCATTCAATGCATTACTAAGAAATGTATTGTTTGAATGAGAAAATCTCTGTGGTGAAGCACATACAAAATAGCCTCTCTCATTTCTGGAAAGGAAGGGAAATTTCTGTAGGACTGATAAAGACTTCATTTTTTAAAGCAAAGAAAGACAGGAACGGTGATTTATTAGTCAATGTGAAATAGACAGAGCACAAGTATCCAGTGACTTAAAGTGGGGGTGACTATCAAGGAAGAAAGCTCAAGCATGTGGGTTTGTAAAGATCTTTGATTCTGCATGGCACAAGGAAGCAAGCCAGAGGCAAAGTAATTTCTTTAGAGCAAAGTTCTTCTCAGTCCTCCGTAGAGGACAAAATTTATTGCCTCCAAACTGTAAGGCTCTGACTTAGTACAAACTTTGAGATTATTTTTATCTCTTCAGTTCTCCAGGTTTGGGATATATTTATTCTTAAATTGTCTATGTCCTTTGATTTCAAGGCTACTATCCAATTATGATCTCACCTTGATGAAAGACTAGTTCCTGTCCCTCCTGCTGCAATCATGAATCACTCAACAGAACATATTTTCATGAATTATGTACTGTTACATGAAAAATTTCTAAAATATTATATGTAATAGCAAAAACCCCGTATTATTATTTAAATGTTATACTTTTCACCCAACTTTTATCACACTTAACACTGAATCATACAGTGCATATATGACCTTCAGGGAAGTTGTGCCCATGTCCAAGCAGAAGAGTGAGAGTAAAATTAATGTACCTTTTTGGTAATGTAGAGAAATACAGGAATGTAGGAGGGGAAGGAGGTATTTAAGTCAACAAATTGACTCCCATGCTTGTACAGGCAACACATCTCACTATCTCATCCTATAACACAATTTCAACAGTTTTTCTTCAGTAATCTTACTTTCCCATTTTTCAATTAAAGTGCTTTACCTTTCTTTTTTACTTCCTTCTGCCCACTTTCCTAACAGAAATAGAAACCACTAGCATTTATAGCCTGAAATACTTGTATTGAACATATCTATTGCTATAAGAAATAAACTCATTACAGCATTTTACAACCTCATTTAACAGGGAATGCTGGATGTCCTATCTCAGCTGCCTCTGTGCCTCATTCGGACAGAAAGATTCCAAGGACAATCTTCAACAGAATTTGTGGCAATGGAAGGAGGCCTGAGGGAAGCACAGCAGCATTCACCTGCTCTCAAAGATTACCACAAAAAAAAAAAATAAATCAGGAAATATTTTGGCCATATTTTTAGATTAGGGAAAATGTGAATGAACTACAGCGTCCGCCTGGACATGATCCTGTCCAACTTGCTCTAGGTGAACCTGCTTTGGCTTGGGGGCTGGACTAGATGATCTCCAGAGATCCCTTCCAACCCCTACTATTCTGTGATTCTGTGATTAGCACAGAAAACTGTTGATCAACCAAAGGCAAGAGCAAACACATGAGCAGATTGGCCTGATAAATGTTTTCATGGCCAACAAAAACTCATCAGCAGCCACTGCATTTGTGCACTTTGGAAAAATAGAATACATGAAATTCCGATTACCTCTAATTGGTCAGATTGCTCGTTTTCATCATAGACAAATGAGTGAGGCAGCTCTCCAAGTGGTGTATCATAGAACTCAGAATCATAAATTATGGTATCAGTGATAGGCGCAGCTCCAACAGACTCGAAGATAAAAAATCCCAGAAAAATATTTACAAAGGGCTGCATTCTGCTTTCTTTTCTGAAAGAGAAGAAAATGGACAAAATATGGGTAATGTGGTATTTGCAAGGAATGTATGAAAATTTAGTCTCAAAAATACAGTACTTATATTTATGCAACAATATTTCTGGTGGATAACTCATAGTTATTCATGATGAATCTATGGTTTATTCTGGTTTGCTCCATGAAGTGTCCCTGGATCTGAAAATTTATGCAAACTACTTTGGCCATTCTAATATTTAGATAATTTAGGAAAGACCTATAGAGTTTTATTGGCATAAAAATAAACTGACTTCAATGAGAAAGTACCTAAAAAGGTGAAAGGAAGATATATATTTTGTTTTTCTCTTTTCATCTAACTTCACCTATTTCCACCGCACCATTAGAAAAGAACTTCTGAGAAACTAGCCAACAGTTAGATTAGTATATTATTTGTGTCTATCACAATTAATAATCTTTTGAAATGTAATTTTGTCTTTCTCCTCCACCATAAAAAAAAAAAAAAAATTAGAAAACATTAGGACCTCTTTCTTGATTGTCTCTGGATGAGCATAATCAAAACACATTTCACCCAGTAGCTGTTTTGCCAGAATATAATTTTAATTTGTTGAATGGTGTGGCATATTTGGACCATCACTTCTGCAAAGGTCTGGAGAGCAAAATAAAAAGTAATCTGTGTTCTCCATAGCCCTGTAAGTGACAGTACTCTGCATTCCTTCATTATTCAATTAACACCATTTTTAAAGTAGTGAGAAATAGCAGCATAGTACAGTCACCTGTTCTCCTTGGAGAATAGAATTGTAAAATCGAATTATCATCCACTTAAAGGTTCCATATTTTAGTAAAATAGTAGAAAATTCATGCTAGGCTTGAATATTAGTGTTTATGCATTCCCTATTCCTTGTATGCAGTGTATTCAATATTATCATCTAAGATGCCTGACACAAGTCTCTATTCAGCACTCTTTGCTTACACCTTGATTTAGCTACAGGTCCCACTAATTTCACCAAAAGCACAGGCAATGATAATGAACAGTGCATAAATCTAATAAATCGTGCTCCTGATGTGATGCCATAATACACACACTTACCTATTTCATTTTTAACCTGTAGCTACTTAAAACAGATTAAGTATAAGAAATGTACAAGACCTTTTTTTGAATGTGTGTGCTGAGCAACAAGCTGAATGTTAGGTTCATGAAAAGAGGTCTTTATGAAGCTAGTTTAGGCATGAGGATATGAAATTCCTCTGGGGATGGTCAGCAACACAAGGCGTTCATTTTTCCCTCGTTTGCTTTATTCAAAAAGACTTTTCAGCTGCTGCTGGGGGAAGCTAGAGTCACTTGGGCTTGTCTTTGAGAAGACTTAGTTAAATTGCACCTTTCAGTATTAGCTTCCAATATTACAAAAAAAATGAAATGAAATGAAATGAAATAAGAATGCAACAAGTTTCTGAAATAAACTGAAGTATATTGTCTTCTGTCTTTATATTTCCTGCTGCCTATTTTTGACAGGACTGGTTTTGGTCTTGCTTTTCTTTTGCTTGTCATTTATCCCAAATGATTCAGCTATAAAAGATGTTATCTATTAACCCAAAATGTAATAAATAAAATATCTGGTGTAATTTTTCTTCTGAATAAACAATTCCTAAATAAAAAAATATTAATTTTTCAAAAATGTTTTCATTTCACATTGCCTATAAATAAAGGGTTTTTAAAGGGTATAGGGCTTAATAGATATTTAATTTTGTACATATATAGACAAAACCAGCAAATATAATGATGATCTCTATGAAAGAAATTATTTACCTATGACTATAGTATCTACACTCACTTGCAGAGTTTACATGTCTCTGTACTTCCCTTATGTGTAATATATTGGAACAGGCTGTAATGATATTGGCATCTGCAGTAGCTCTAAGATCAAATATTTTGATGAAGATTATGCACTCCTCTCACAGGAAGGAACTAAGACATATCCAGGGAAAATAAATATTCTCCTCAATCTGCAGCCTTTGAATTAGTATTATGCACGATAAAATAAAACAAATACTATAAAAATATTTCCAGCGTTAAAATTCCAATTAACTGTTCTAAGAGAGAAGCACCAAAACTTACCTTTAGCTTCCAATCTCTCAAATGGGATGGAGCTACTCAGAATGCAGAGCCAGTGGTATTAGACCCCGACCAATGGCAGTGGCATTCTGGGGCTGTGGGAGGTGGTACAGCTTCTACCCTCAACTGGGGACCTCAGCCCAGGGAGTTTCTTAGACTTCAAACACCTTTGTATTTATTTTGCTGAATTGAATTTTAGCAGGGTCAAACAAAGGTGTGTTGTAAGCAAATGGCATTTATTTCGCGTCACAGCTTTTTACCCTTTCTCCTCAAATTTCTTACTACTCCTACCAACATACCAATAACATTCTCAGGTGCATTCTGGAAACAATCTTGTGGGTGTCCTGAAAATCTGGAAGTGCATATTTTCCAACATCCAAAATCAAGGCTTAAGCAAATTGGATTACATATGAATATTTTTTCCTCTATGTAACATTTCTATTTTGGTACTCATAGTATGTGATAATGTTTAATGAATTTCCATCTGCTGTGGGTATTATCTGGTATGTATTTAGAGATACTTTTTTTTCTTTACTTTTCTATAGGTACTTACAAAGCAATACTCATAGGGTATACTCTTTCCAGAATGTTTTCCTTCTGAAGGGGAAATACCACTTCCTATTAAGGAAGACATATTCCTATTATAGCAGATATGAACTGCTATAATATGCTGCAAATGTCAGGCATACACAGTAGTATGATGCACTTTATTACACCAGAAAAAGGTTTTACAATGTTAGCAGAAGTCAAGGTATCTCTTTTCCTTATCAATGGTATTTTCCTTATTATCAGTTCCTACTTAATTCTGGACTTACTTTCATATTACAGGTATTTCGTACAACATACAACCATTCCTTTGAACTTTTTCATCATTCCTCCAACGCTTCAATAAAATATGCCTCCTAATACTGTCAATGTCCTATATTAATGGTTAGGAAAAGGCAGAACCCATTCCTTATCTATGAAGGAATATGATTCATGTAGAAGATTCTAACATTCTAAGCAAACCCGATTCCCTTTGCCTTGTATAATTTCCACATCAATCTTTTTCAAATAAGGAAATCATCCTAGAAGGCTCATTTGTATGAAGGACCAAAAGCATGTTAAGAATTTTAAGCCAGCTCTCAATAATTTGAATGTCCAACAGTAAACTTCTAGTACTAGCCTAGGGAATCCAAGACATATGAAAGGATTTGGCAGATAGATAGGTCAAAGGGTAGAAGAGCAGCAACTCTGCTAGCAGATAGGTAGAGGGTAGGGTATTGTAGGACATATCAAATGGCGCTAGGTATCGTGTACTATTTTGACAACTGAGTCAAGTTCGCAGCGCCTTTACAGTACTAGGACCACTCCTGGATGACAGACTTCTTTCTAAGGAAGGTTCAGCATGATTTGTTTCTCTGAAAACAGGGGCACTGATCATTACATCAGATATTTCAAATTTCTGTATTCACAGTCTCTTCCCACTGTAAAAGCAGCTTCTGCCACAAAGAATCAGGGCAATAAGTACATTGTGAGCACCACACTACTGTGTCTTGTTGATTTTTCTTCAGGTCAGTAGCTTTGGCCTCAGTTTACTGTGTAAGTTCGCAATCTAGTTGCTTTCAATGGCTATGTATGCTCCTTTCTGGCAACAAAACAAATAGCTGTATCTTCTGCATCAAAATGCATCATTTCACCTTCTTACTGCTACTGGGAATTTTTATGCTGCTCCACATGTTGAAATAATTAACGTTTCTTCAGTTTTAAGTGTTTCATTAGCTGCTGTGCTTGGTGATTTAAGAATTACTCTATGAAATACTCACTCTCAAATGTCTTCTTCATTTACAAAACATATTCTCTCTGGACAGACACAGCATTCATTGATTTCACTTGTACAAAAAACCTCAATCTTGTGTTCTTTATTGAAGGAAAATTCTTATCTACAACAAATTCTTCATATCTATATCAATCTTTTTCTTTATTCTTCCACAACTAAGTTGATTTAGACATACTGTGACCTAGGGCCTGAAAATTTTGTATCTTTTGGTCTGTAGGTTTGCTTTTTTTGTTTTATTAAGACCAATGAAGTTCAAACCCCTTTGGCTCTGAATCTTAACTTAATCTTGAATTTAGTGGCTTACTGCATTCCTGTCAAACTATAATATGCTTTGCTAGTCTTGTTTTCCAGAAACTCTAAGCAAGTAAAATTGATTTCTATTTTTTGTTAGAACTATGGAAACTTATCTGAAAAAAAGATTTATTTTACATTCATTTTACAATCTTATGAGTATGATGGCACACAAATTTTGCCAATAAGGGTCAAATGGAAAAAACAGTTTTGTTTGTCTTAATTTATGCTTTAAAGAACCAGAACTTGGATACTGAGTGCTATACCTGTAGGGGGCATGCCTTAATTGACGCTGGAATTAACGTTTGGCATTTTGTTTGAGGTTGGATACTAGATGTCCTGATGTTAACAACCCTAGACTAGCCAGAAACCCAGGAGACCCAATATTTAAGCAGTTCGAGCATAGTATGCCATTAAGAGCAAAGGAAAAGAAAGACTACTTATAGCCCTTGTGGTGTTGCTAAGCAGAAAGATAAGCTTTTATAGAAAGCTCACAGAAAATCTGTGCTTAAACTAGGAACTAATTCAGATCACTGCCTTATGCTTTCTGAATCCTGTTATCACAGAAGATAATGAAATTCCTGAGTATGACTAAAAGACATTTGGGAGTGACCTTTTCGTGTCCTCTAATTAGCCCCATCACTGACACTTCTTTTTTTTAGCAGATCCTCTGGCCTTGTGCAGTTTAAATTACTGTCTTGCAAACTTCCTTAGTTGTCTCTAAATCTTGCTGTCTGACTTGCTAACTTGGGCTTGATTAAGAGCTCACTAGAGTTAATGGAGAGTTTCTTCGCATTCAGTGGGTTTTGGAGCATGACTTCAGCTAGAAGTATATCCAGCTGTGGTCATTGCCTAACACATTCCTAGCTAAAATGCATTCCCATTGTATAATTGCTGGCGATGCTAAATGAATTAATTTATTCCCTTGTTTTTTGAGAGGGCTTTGTTTCCATTTCAGTTCTCCGAGTTCTTGGAGGTGCAATGACTCCTAACTGTGTTCTTGAACTCAGTGCCAAAGCCTCAGGGTTGTCCTATTCTTGTTTTTCCAAAACCTTGATTATAAAGCTCTGAGCCTTTGATTCAGACTGTCAGCATCCACTTGATATAAATATAATTTTTTTTTTTTTTGCTTTGTTTTCTTCTGGGCCTCACAGATTCATCCCCAGGAACTTGTGATAAGAAAGAATGTGTGGGAAAAATACTAGCTTGGCCATAAAGTGAAAAATCCTGTCTGACCCTGAGAAAGAGTTTGTGTGTGGCACCAAGTTTCCCTCTTGACACCTTCTTGGTCTCCCAGCCTGAACAGAAGTACAGGTCTTTAGTCTACTGCATCAGCTCTGGAATGTTCTAATGCTGATTGCTAACAAGGAGGCAAGGTAATATTCAGCTTTGGAAAGAGGGACAGGAGAGTCCCAAAATGGATCATTCTATTGGTGGTTTCTACTTGGCACCTGTTTAAAAGGTGGTCCTGGTCTGAAACTATAGAGTAAGAGCAATAAATGAAGATGTTGATGTATTTTCATATACCACAATAATAACAAAATGAAACATCCCCTTCTCCTGGGCTAGGGGCCAGTCCACATACAGGAGAGGAAATACATGACTGTTCCAGTACTGGTGACAGTAAGTTCACCTGCTTGGGCCACACAGTCTCTTAAAAAGACACACTGTGTTTCCTCCAACTCTTTTCCACATTCTGTGGCCAGAAGTGCATCTGCCAGATGAACAAAATGGGGTCACTAGCATTATGTGATGGGGACAATTGTGTTTTGGTCATATGTGGGAGGTCCATAAGCATTCATTTCTCGAGGTATGCTATGTCTCACAACCAAAATGCAGGTAACATTAACATTTTGATGCTAACATTAGCTTGTTAACATTAATGTTAGCATGAGGAAACAAACGTGGGGCACTTACAAAAGACAGTGGCAAAAAATAGTCCGTTTGAATTGGTATAAAGCAGAGCCATCTATTCCCAAAAAAGTTGTTAGAGGAATATCACCTCAGTGGGTATACAAAACATCAGTCCTAAACCTGGCAGTATACTTATGTATTTAAACTTATGCAAGGATTATTTTTAGAAAAATCAAGTTTTTATTGTTTCCCTAAAAGACCTGTATAATATGTAGTTTATTTTTCATATACTAGGAGAGGATTCATAGTTGAAGTAATAAAATGTCATACATTGTGTCACTTTAGTTAGTAATTTATATATACTATATAATTTTTTAAATTTTTGCTCCTTTTTAAATGATTATAAACTGTTACCTATTTAGGTCAGGTTTCATATTATTTGGTGGCATGCATGTAACCTTTATTAATAAAACGCTCACAATGAATGTTTGTTTTCTTTCACTTTACTGTGGAGAAGAGATTGCAAAGCAGATGTAATTCCTTCTACATACAATCTAAACTATTTGGAAAGACATCTATTATTGTGAATGTGTAAAAATTTTATTTTAGAATTTAAAATACAATTTTTTCAGCTAATACCGTCTAACCTGCATATATGTGCCACAACCTAATCCAGTTGGATAGTTTTTAGTTTTCTGAATAAATGTAGTATTTAGCACTCCAAACTATGTCCACTGAATGTTCGTGAAGAACTTTACTAAGGTGCATAGCAATGAACTTTCGCTTTTTGCACCTGGATCCATCTTCTTTGACATCCTATTTCCCTCAGGCCTTTAGTGCTAGAATCCTCCAACATTTTCACTAATGCTATATGCTGTACCAAAGAGTCTGCTTTGTGTCCAAACAAATGCTTCTCAGCTTTTCTCAGCTTGTTCTTGGTGTGTGACATTATTATTTACTGAATCCTTGTTTGTGATTTATTTTTCAGTTTTAAATATGTGACCAGAATTATATTGAACAAAGAGAAACCACAATGTGAAATCCTGTAATCACTGAAGTTAGCTACAATCGAGTTCGGGGCTAAAATTCAGG